TTAGACAGGCCATGCGAAATAGGCGAAATATGTACTCTTCCTGGAGTTTAGCTCAAGATGGAGCCCATCAGGAGAGGTCGGGTGCTGACTGCACTGTCCACTGATACCCCGATTTACACTTATATGGCCTGCTAAAGAAACAAAAGCCAATTTATAAACTGAAATGGGACTATTTTCTTGGTTTTATGAAAAAATAATCATTATTTTACCAAGCGTGAAATTCCTTACTTTTCTCTGGGCATAACCACAGGCCCTCTCAACCATTCTGCTAAAATGTCCCGTTATGTGTGTTCTTTTTGTAGGGAAGTTGCTCCGACTTCTGTAGCATGAAAAGGCACGCCGAAATTAAGGTAAGCTTATTTCGTTTGTTTCTTCGGTAAAATATTAAACCACTGCGCAGAAAAGAAAAAACGATTTGGCGGCATCGTGGTTGTTGAACAAGATTCGATAAAATTGCGTCTCCCGTCGACTGGTAGCACACTGTCCTACACAAGTTGACTAGATGGCTTTCTCAGTCTGGCTCCTCTGAGTGTACAAATCCATGTTTGCCCTCTTGAAGGCCTTCTTTGACGCCCATCCGGTGCCCTGTGTGCGCGCGGTGAACCAGGCGCTTGAATCGGTGAAAATCAACTCCACGATCGCGGAACGCGACTTTGCAGATGCCTCTGCCCTCTTCCGTTCTCTCGTCGATGCCAGCTAGGTCTGCTAGAAGCTGTGGAGCTGCCACCGATTCCCTTTTCTTATTTCTTGCTTCTCTCCCCCCCCCCAACTGTCACACATGTGCACATGCCTGTTATCCTCCGGGATAGGCTTCACATCCGTGCGTCTCGGATACTAATCATGCGGTTACAGGAACAGCCTTTTGTACTGAAATTTTTTAATATACCTAGGTAAATTTCTCCAAAAACCCCTGCCTTCTGTCATGTCGTGAGCAAAATCGCTGGGGCGGTAGATTTAATGGCCTTAGCTTTCGAACTCGAACTGGAGCTGACGAAACCAAACAGCTCGTCTACGCATGGTGCACATGACCGGATCCCCACAACATCCGCAAGGCATTCGTGTGTGCCATAAGGGTCACAGTACGAAGAAACTACTGAGCCTGACTTTCAGCCCTCCAGTCAGTCACTCTTCGCTCACAGTACTGTCTCAGTACGACAGATTCGTAGGTGCCAGACTAGGCCGATGCGTGATACGGATTTGCAATAACAGTAAGAACAGGAGGGAACTGCGACTAGGGAGTTTTTAGCAAAGGCGTTGGTATTTCCGGCGGCAGCTTCAAGGAATGTAAGCGTCTGCCATGTCATGGTCAGCAGACCACGGTCTTCGCAGCTCGGTGTGCACTGGCAGTTCTCTGACACCTGGCTCCCTGCCGGCAGATGAGTTTGCGCTCCCGCCGGGTATACAGGTCGTGACCATGGTTGCACATTCATCCTCGTCCTTCTGACTCGTGGTGCTGTTGGTAAAAATCCTAGTCAAGCGTTTGTTGTGAACCATGGAGTATGGATTTGCGCGCCTAGCTGCAGGTCTGGCCATGCCATCCGCCCGCGCACTCTCCTGTCTCCGGTCTTTTTGCCTATGACCTGACACCGGGCCCAGGTGGGGAGGAGGAGAAAGTGTGGTGGATGCTGCGCAAGTCAGCGTGCCTGCTTCACCTTGGTGTGGAGCACACGGTAGACACCGTCGGGCACGGCGGTCGAACTGTCATTACTGGGGCATGGGTTCCGGGTGCTGGATGGAGGTTAGTCGTGATGACAGTTCGGTGAATCCCGCTGTTCCGATGGCCGAAAAGATCAATGCGGTCTGTGTCAGAATGGCTTCGGACATCGTAGGCAGGGAAGGCGTAATTGACGGGTGTATGTTGGGGCTAGGGGTACTGACTTGCCGGCTGTGGGCGATGCATTCACAAATGACCGACCAGGCCTATGTTTAACGAAAAAGTGCCGATTGCAATGGTGACAGGTTGGAACTTAGTCCGCCTCGTTGGGGGCAGAGGCAGTGGGGGTAGGTCGTCAAGAGTGTCCTCATTAGTGTCGCCTGTGTTGGTGGCGTGTTGTGAAATGCGTGACGGTTTGGTCATACGGCCACTGCACTGAAGTTGCAGATATCCGATGAAACCGATCTGTGCCTTGAATGTCCCTATAACTTTTTCGTTAACTGCCTCCGTAGGACGTCCACATGCGAACCGATGAATCCTGACTGAAGCTTACGCATTCGTTTCCATATTGGACCATTTCAGTATCGCGTAATGATCGTTTCAAATTCTGACACAATATGCATACGCTGACACATTCACACAACTTCGTGTAATTAAGTACCTACCCTTCATTCACACTCGCTTTACATATTGTTTTTGTGACGTTATTATAACCAATAGGGAGTTCAAGGGCGCTCACATCCTTGACCGCCACAAATTGGTGGCCCCGAGTTCCCAAACATGGGAGTTTATTGAAAGTTTAACAGTCCTCCGTTCATTTCCACCACCATGTCCGGCGACGGGACATCAATGCCCGTTCCTCCTACATCGCACGTCTCCGTTAAACTTCCTACCTTTAGCCGCAAAACCTGGAGCTTTGGATTGCGCGTTGCGAAACCGAATTCGAAGCATGCAAAACTACTCGTCAAGAGACCTTGTTCAACCACTTGCAGCGCTGTCCTCCTGACGAGTATGCAGAGGAACTCTGCGACCTCCTCATCCACCGCCCTTTGGAACAGCCTCACGAGGCTCTGGTAAAGCGCGTAGCCATGACGGAGGAGCGCCGACTACGACAACTGCTCACTGGCGAAGAGCTTGGGGACCGGAAACCTCAACTACTGAGAAGAATGCAACAGCTTGTTGGCGACAGCTCGTTGTTCGAGACCTCCATCCTTCGCCAACTTTTCCTTTAGCGCCTCCCACTCGAAGTCCAGACAGTTTTGACTGTTTCTCAAGGAAGCATCGATGAATTGGCAGAGCTTGCCGGCAAGGTCATGGCGTTGAGAGTACCTGAAACTTCTGCAGTCAGTCACGCCGCCAGTTCAATTTCTCAGGAATATGATCAGCGCATTGACCGACTCGAGCAGTTGGCCATGTAACTGACAAACCAACTCAGTACAGTTACCCCAGGAGGTCCACGGCGATCACGAGACCATCGGAGGAGTTCCTCACGCTCCTGTAATCGCCGCCAGCAGTCATTAAGTGGAATGTGCTGGTATCACCAGAAATTTTTAGAAGCGGCACGACCATGTCTGCTGCCATGTTCATTTAGGTCGCCTCTCAAGGCCTCGGGAAACGATACCGCCCGGCAGTAGAGGCGAATGATGCCGGGAGCGCTGCCAATGTTCATACTCGCCGTCTGTTTCTCTGGGACCGTATCGCTGGCGCCAAATTCCCTGTCGACTCTGGTGCCGAGGTTAGCGTGGTTCCACCAACTCCGGCCGAACGCAAAAACCGCAGCTCTCTGTCTAACAGCTGCCAACAACTCCAGCATCCCCACCTTTGAACAGCCCTCCATCACACTTGATTTGGGCCTTCGTCGGATTTTCCGATGGGTTTTCATTATTGCTAACGTTTCCGTCGTCCTCATAGATGCCAATTTCCTAGCTCACTTCAATCTACTAGTTGATTCGAGGAATCGCCGACTCGTCGACTGCATCACCAACCTTCATGCCCATTGTCAATCCGATGTGAACCCCTGCGTCAACCCTCTCACTGTTATGCCTATCTCTGACTGCCCTTTCTACTCACTCTTCAGGCAGTTCCCCCGCCTGATCAACCCCGCATTTCATGAAGTGGACATCAAACACATAGTCACCCACCACATTTCCATCACTGGACCTCCCAAATCTTGCCGACCACGTCGTCTGGCTCCGGACCGTTTGAAGATTGCCAAAGCAGAGTTCGAACACATGCTTTAGCTCGGCATCACCCAACAGTCCGACAGCTGCTGGGCATCACCCCTCCATCTTGTCCCAAAGAAGAGCGGCGACTGGCGACCGTGTGGTGACTATCGGGCGTTGAACTCAGTCACTGTCTCCGACCAGTATCCCGTCCCGCCCATCTAAGACTTCACTCTTTCGCTGCATGGTAAGCGAATATTCTCCAAGATTGACCTAGTAGATGCCTACCACCAAATCCCGATTGAGGCCAGTGATGTGTCGAAGACTGCAGTGACTACGCCCCTTGGGTTATTTGAATCCAGTTGCGTGCCCTTTGGTCTGAGGAACGCCACTGAAACCTTCCAGAGGTTCATTGATCAGGTGTTGTGAGGTTTTGACTTCGTCTACGCCTACGTTGGTGTTTTGTTGGTGGCTAGTTCTGACGCTGCTGAACACGAGGTTATTCTTCGACAACTCTTCGAACGGCTCGACTCCTTCGGCGTTGTAATCAATGCTGGTAAATGTGAGCTTGGTGTCCCCAGCCTAATCTTCTTGGGTCACGAATTGAACTCTGATGGGATAAAACCCGTCCCGGAAAAGGTTTCGGCCATATCAACGTTCCCCGTTCCAACAACCATAAACCAACTACGCCGCTTTTTGGAGATGGTGAATTACTATCACCGTTTTCTTCCCCATGCTGCCACCATACTGCAGCTACTCAACAGCCTTTTGGCTCACTCCAAGAAGACACTGGTGATGGCCGAGGAGACCGTCAGGTCCTTCAATGATGTCAAGGCCACACTTGCGGACACAACATTGTTTTCCCATCCTCGCTCAGATGCTCAGCTAACTCTCATGACAGATGCTTCCAGCACTGCTGTTGGTGCATCACGTCAGCAAACTGTTAGTGGTATTCTGCAGCCTCTGGCTTTCTTCTCGAAGAAGCACAGCCCAGCAGAGACTCGATAAAGTGCCTTCGGCCGAGAACTCCTCGCCGTCTACTCATCCACAGAGCGAAGCTGAGCTTGTCCTACAAAACCCCGAGTTGAACAGAAATCTACGGAACCGAAACGCATTTATAGGTCCAGATTTGACACCGATGCAAAGACGTAAACTTCGGGAAACAGGCATTAGCTACAATCACGGTAATCACCACTCCGGTCCCTCAACTTAACCTCTAGCTACTACCTCTACTTCTAGCGCTAATAAAAAGAAATGCACAGACCAGCGTAAACAAAATAATAAACCCACAGCCCCCGTAGATGGACCTCCAGCAAGTACTTGTGACTCAAGATTTCAGGACAATAACACATAACAGCGAAAGCAGTTAGGAATGCTGGACAGAAAGAAACGGGGGAGACACAACAAAACAACAACGCTCAACTAGAATAGAACGATGACGCCGATCCCAGACCTAGTCATGTGACACCACTAGATAGCAATATAAGTTTTGCTGCGCCCCTAAAAAACGATCAACCCGTACTAGCAATCGACCGCCAAACAAGAAACACAAACCAAAAGGCCTTATTAAGCACACCTGCACAACCAAAACGCCCTAAATGTATAGATATAACAAATAGGAGATCTCCAAACTCTAACCAGAAACAAATAAGCTTTTATAACTGTACCTCGACTCCCCAAAATCCACCTGCATAACATAGGAATAAGCCAAATCACTCTAGCACTCCAAACTTCTTACGACCTAACGACAACCCCACTAATTACTTCGGCTTTTACACCTCCCCAAATGAAACTCCATTTAGGTACAATTCCCACCTAGTTAACCCACCTCCCCATATGTGCACTCAATCCATACACACTAACCCATGCACTCAAATTTCGCCATACGCATCACCATATCCTCCAAGAACCACGCACTTACCTCCATCTTGCCCATAACTCAATCAAAGTATCTTCAGAAATCCTTTTTTCACCACAGCCTTCTCTTCCATATCCGGCATCCTAAAGATAGCTCTTATAAATTCGAGATCGATTGTCAATAAAATATCATAAGTTAGAACTCTTGTTGAAATATATAGCCCCGATATAATTTGCATCACAGAAACATGGGCAAATGAACTTATATCGAATGCTTCGCTATATATCCCAAATTGTCATTTCTATCGACAGGACCGTGTTGGTAAACGAGGCGGATTTTGTCTTATATACACCAAAACTAGCACTGAACAAAGTGGTATTGATGTCCCAATCGAAACCTTTGCTGGAGAAGCGTGTTTGGCCATAATAAAATCTCATGCCCAGGAAAACATTAGTCGGATGTCTCTTCTCCCCTCCAGAATGTAGTAATGATGATACAAGCCTCATCCACTTAGTAAACGATATAGCTAACATGAAAACTGAATATAAGATAATCGCAGGCAACCTAAACCGCCCAGAAATAAACTGGGTCGAATTATCGTCACCTACCAGGCACGAAGAACTCTTATCTTCAATTACCTTTAATAACTGGACACAAATGGTTGACAAATCCACCCTAGGAAACAATATACTAGACGTTATTTTCACCAAGGGCATCTGGCCCCCCTATATGCACTACGACTGCGTAACCTTTGAATGTGACCACAAAACCATAATATCAACACTCCCCTTAAATGCACAACTAGCACCACATTTTAGTAACACCAGCCTAAACCAAAAAACTTGACAAAGACTCCATGAACAACTATATTAGGTCATTGGACTGGAGCCCATATCTTCTAACAGCATGCCCTATGAAAGCAGTTAACCTATTGTAGTCTGTCCTATTTATAATTCGAGATACCTTGGTAGCCAAAAGACTCCCTTATAAGAAATCACTGATCCCACGCTTTCTTTCAAGTAAACCAAAAAAACTAAAAAAAAAACATCTACACCACCCCTCTGTAAATTATTTATCTACACTTCGACGAATTAGGGAAATTCAAGGCCTTGTTAAGAAAATGGAAACACAAAAGACCATAGCAGCAGAACATCGGGCATTATAATTCCCTGAACGAACAGCTCAGATGTTGCAGAAACAAATGAATCATCATCGAAAATCAGGCCCAAGAACTATTATTGATGATTTAGGTGAAGTTATAACAAATGACAACCAAATAGTAAACGCATTCAACAAATACTTCTCAATTAAGTACATAGTCGAGGAGGGAGTGACCCCCCAACTAACGGAAATGACAGAACGTATCGTTAGTAAGATCCGTTTTAATGAAGAAACTGTTAAAGTAGCCATGCAACAACTATCGAACACCAACTCTTATGGGATGGATAAAATCCCCCCATGTATTCTGAAGCATATGACATATGCTCCTATACGCCTATCTAAATTATTTACCCTTCTCCAGTCAAATTCAATTTTTCCTGACATGTAGAAATACTCGACCATTGAACCTATCTTTAAAAGCGGCAACCGATCTCATACCCACAACTATCTTAGTGTTCACCGAACACCGGCTATAGCTAAAATCCTCGAAAAAATAGTCTACAACCAATTGCTAGACCATCTCATATACGCCAACCTCATTCCAGCCTATCAACATGCATTTTTACCCAAAACGTCATGTCACTCCCGCCATCTTACATTTTTTGGGATTCGTTTCCAGCAATAGAGATGATGGAAACACAGTAGCTTCAAAATACTTTGATCTAAAGAAGGCCTTTGACAAAGTCCCCATAAAAGACTGCTGCTAATGCTGAAAAGTTATGAAATTAGGCCGCCCCTTCTCAATTTTCTTAAATCCCTTCTTCAAAACCGATATCAAGTGGTGAAAATTCGAAACATAGTCTCAGAACCATCCCCTATTACCAGGGGAGTACTTCAAGGCACTATCCTAGGCCTCCTTCTATTTCTTATATACATTCACGACTTATCGTCCATATCTGTCTCAGCTAAGACGTTTTTATGTATATGTATATGTATATATTGAAGGGTTACAGGCAGAGCCCTTGATGACCCTATTTATGTACAGTGCTTTCGCAGATTCATACTCAAAAACAAAATAAAATTGCAGGAATTTAAACTGTGATTGGTTCACAGGTCGATCGTAATCATAAAGTAGTGCATAGGGTCACTGTAAATTTGTGCGGGACATTGTATATGACAGATTTTACAAAGCTGGCTGTGCATAGTCATGCTGTACAAGTCGATTTCTGTCGAAAACTAGACGAGCAAGTTTTTTTTTAACCACACGAACTGTGTCAGCCGTCACCATCTCGCTTGGGAGCGAGTTCCACGGCCTGACAACTCGCTGGCTGAATGAAAATTTTCATCGGTCTAAACGCGTGCGCTCATTCCTGACTATGTATGCATGGCCGCGTAGTTGGTTTGTACGGGCGAACGCAAAGAAATCCTCTGCTCTTAATGAGCAACCCTGGCCGCGAACAATCCGGAACGTCCAGAGTAGACTGCAGTTTATTTGTCTATACGAGAGAGGGAATAGACCAAGGAAATTCAGCCTCTCCTGATAAGACAAATGCTTCAAACCGTCGACCATCTTTGTCGCTCTGCGTTGCACATGTTCGAGTAAGTTGTTATCCTTCCTCATTCATGGTGAAGCTGCTGGCATTCCATACTTCAGATGAGGTGTTACAAATACACCAAAGAGTCTTTCGAAGAGTTCGGGAGGGAATATTTTAAATGTACGTCTGATTCAGTGTAGAGTACTAATTGCCTTCTGGACCATCTTTCTACAGTGTTCTGATGGCGATAGATTTGTAGTCGTCAATACACCCAGATCTCTGTGTCTTTCCACAGTTTCTAACCTCGTCCCGTCAATATAGTATTGCTGTTTGGGAGAGGCATTGCGGCCGGTGTTCAGGTGCAAGACCACGCACTTGGACACGTTAAACTTCAAAAGCCATCTGTTCGACCAAGCACACGGTTTGCTGATGTTCGACTGCAACTTCTCTGCGTCATCATCACACTTGACTTCACTCCATATTTTAATGTCGTCCGCGAACATGAGAGCCTCGCAATTCACTTCGCTGATGCAGTCATTAACATAAATCAGGAAGAGTACTGGGCCTAAGACAGAACCCTGTGAGACACCACTTTCCACCTTTACCCATTCCGAGGCAGAATTACTAACGACGACTCTTTGTAGTCTGGAGGACAGAAAACTCCTGATCCACTTAAACATTCTCCCTTGAATCCCTACATCCCAGATCTTTTGTAAAAGAAGCCTGTGTGGGACACTGTCAAAGGCCTTCTTGAAGTCAAAAAATATGACATCTACTGGAAAACCCTTATCGGTAGCTCGTGTCCATTTCTCGTGCGAGTAAAGAACACTCGTTAGGCAGGAGCGCCCTGGACGAAAGCCATGTTGGGCATCACACAATATTTTGTTCTGTTCCAGGTATTTCATCAAGTGTCTTTTGATAATGCCTTCCATTATTTTACACGCGATTCAAGTAAGACTGACAGGACGATAATTTCCGCAGTCAAGTCTTGAGCCTCCTTTATGGATTGGAGCAATGAGTGCGCACTTCCATTCTTCCGGTAGCTCGCCGTCTTCAAATGACTTTTGAAATATTGCGGATAAGGGTTTGCACAGTTCATTAGCAAGTTCGCGAAGTGCTAGGGCGGGAATTCTATCCGGGCCAGGCGATTTGGCAGGTTTCAGCCGGAGTAACTCGGCCCTAACTATGGTAGATGAAAAGAGTGGTTCCTCGGTTAAGGAGGGTAGGGAGGGGATAGGATGGGGAAGGGTACTGGGAGGAGAGGTTGCTTGGCGAATGGATGGATGGGCAAATAGAGAACTAGGTTCTCGGGTAAAGACGGACTGAAAGAAGTCGGAAAGGAGGGACGCTTTAACCTGGTCATCAGTCTCCACTTTTCCATCTGCAGACCTAAGGGCAGGGATCAGCTCCTGAGTCCTTTTAGTACTTCGTCTATAACCATAGAGAATTTTCGGATGCTCCAACGAATTTCGGAGGATTTTCAGTTCAAACTTCTTTCATAGCTTTGAGGCCTC